GAACTAGGATTATGAGTGTGCACCACCACATCTGGCTTAGATGCCCTCTACTTGGTGATACCTTTTTTTTTTTTAATTTTTATTTCACACATGAGAGAAATGTTTAACTCTTGTGAGTCTTATTTTCTGTATACTTCCACCTACTCCTCTCCCCTCTCTACTTCAAACAAATAAATATCATTTCAGAGCCAGATATTGTGGTGTACACTTGTAATCTCAGCACTCGGGAAACTGAAGCAGGAGGATCACCTCGAGTTCAAAGCCAGCCCAGACCACATATAAAGACACCGTAAAAGAAAGAGAGGGAGAGGGAGAGGGAGGGAGAGAGGAAAAGAAAAGAAAGGAAAGGAAAGGAAGAAGGTAGGTCTTGTTTTTCATTTTTCATGTTACTTTGGGTTCTTTGGGACGAGGTCTTACTATATAGCCTAGGTTGGCCACTCTGATTTTCTGTCCACCTGAGTGCAGAGTACAGATGCTATATGCACCCTGTGCCCTCTTCCTTGGGGTCGTCTCAAATATGGCCATTCCTAAATTTATTTAACCACAAGACAAATTAATGGTAACCTTCTTGGGCTGGGATTTAGCTCAGTGGCATTGTGCCTGCCTCGCAAGCACAAGGTCATGAGTTTGATCCCCAGTACCAAAAAAAAAAAAAAGTAACCTGTTTTTTTATTTAACTTTCTTTACTAGGAAAGCATTTATTGATACATTTTAGGCATCCCTAAGGATAACAGTCCTCCTGGAGAATCTACACCTGTACGTGATACCTCCTGCCTCTTTTTTCCATGCACACCTCCCCTAACCCTCTCTCACCTCCCTGTGTACATAAGCATTGTTTCCATTTTGTCCTTCTATTTTTACTTTTTTTTCTGGTCCTTTCTTTACTTTCTTCCACCCTCCTCTCTTGATCTTCTTCCCTTTTGAGCATTTTCTTCCCATTTCCCAATATCTATTACACATTTTAGTCCTTATTTCCATTTACAGTTTCTCACATCAGAGAAACAATGTGGTATTTAAACGTGTGTCCAATTTATTTCACTTAAGAGTACGGTCTCAAGGTCCATCCATTTAGCTGTAAATGTCTGAAGCTCATCCTTCTTTATGGCAGAGTGCTACTCCACTGTGTAAAAAATCCACATCTTTATCCATCCATGGGTAGATGGGCAGTTGGACTGTTTCCAAGATTTAGCTATTACGAACTATGCCACTATAAACATGGGGTGCATATATTGCTGTGGTACAATGCTTTCACTTCTTTCAGAACAATATCAAGAAGAGGAATAGCTGGGTCAAATGGAACCTCTACTTTTAGTTTTTTGAGGAATCTCCACAATGATTTCCACAGTGGTTGCACCAGTCTGCACTCCCCCAAAGGAAAAGGGTTCCTTTTTCCACACCACCCCACCAGCTTTTGTTATTGGTTGATTTCTAGATAACAGCCATTCTTTATGGAGTGAAATGAAATCTCAGTGTTGTTTTACTTTGCATCACCCAAATGACCAGTGATGTTGAACATTTTTTCTCATATTTATTTGCCATTTCTACCTCGTCTCAGAAATGACTATTCATTTCAGATGCCAATTTTTGCATTGGGTCTTTAAATTTTGGGTCTGTTTTTTTTAAAACTTCTTTATATGTTTTAGATGGTAGTCCACTGTCTGAAGAACAGCTGGCAAAATCTTTTCCCATACTGTGGGTTGTCTCTCTGTTCTTTCGGTGGTTTCTCTTGCAAAGGCTTTTTAATAAGATGAGATCCTAGTTGTTGATCCTTTGTAGCATTTCCCATGTAGTCTCGGTTCTGTTCATGAAATCTTTGCCTACTCTTATGTCCCCAAGCATTCTACCTATTCTCTCTTCCAGCAGATTTAGCATTTCTGTTTTAAAATTTAGATCTTTGATCCATTTTAATTTTAGGTTACTGCATGGTGAAATATATGGGTCTAGTTTCAACCTTCAGCATATGGATATCCAGTTTTTCCAGCACCATTTATTAAAGAGGCAATCTTTCTTCCAGTGAAGGTGTTTGGCTCCTTCGTCAAAGATAAGGTGGCTGAGTGTGTCCAGAGTTGTTTCTGCATTTTCTAATCTGTTCCATTGATCCTCAGGTCTGTTCTTTTACAAGTACCATGCTGTTTTTATCACATTAACTTTTCAGGTCAGGGATTGTGATGCCCCTGGCCTTGCCTTTGTTGCTCAAAATTATGTTTGCTATTCTAAGTCTCTTGTGGTTCCAAATGAATTTTAGGATTGTTTTCTCTAATTCTGTGAGGTATGCTATTGGAATTTTTTTTTTTTTTTTTTTTTTTTTCATTTCAACAGAAACTACAAAAAACGCAGCTTTTCTGCATGCAATAAACTTCAAAAACTTCAGAAATAAAATAAACTTCAAAACTTTTTTTTTTTTTGGTACCAGGGATTGAACTCAGGTCCTTGTGCTTGTGAGGCAGGCAGCAGAACCACTGATCTAGCTTTTGGAATTTTGATTGGGGTTGCATTAAATCTGTATAACAACTTTACAAGTATGGCCATTTTCTCTATATTCGTTCTTCCTATCCAAGAATAAGGGATATCTTTCCGTTTTCTGATATCCTCATCAACCTCCTTTTACAAAGTACTATAGTTTTCAATGTAGAGGTCTTTTACTTCCTTCATTAGATTTATTCCTAGGTATTTCATTGTTTTAAATGCTTTTGTGAAAGGTGTTGTTTCCCTGATTTCTCTCTCAATGAATTTGTTATTCATATACAGGAATGCTATTGATTTTTGAATGTTGACTTTATATCCAGCCATGCTACTGAATTTGGTTATTAAATCTAAAAATCTTTGGTGGAGTTTTCAGGGTCTTCTGTGTAGAGTATCATGTCACCCACAAATAATGATAATTTAACTTCTTCCTTTCCTATCCTTATTCCCTTTATTTCTTTCCCTTTTCTAATTGACCTGGCTACAGATCTACAGAACTACAGTGAGTAAGAGCCATGACAGTGGACATCCTTCTCTCATTCCTGATGTTAGAGTGAAAGCTTTCAGATTTTGTCCATTTAGTATGATGTTGGCTGTTGGTTTCTCATAGATGATGGTTATCAGATTGAGATAAAGGCTGGGCATGGCGGCGCACACCTGTAATCCCAGCACTCGGGAGGCTGAGGCAGGCAGATTGCTGTGAGTTCGAGACCAGCCTGGGCTACGTAGTGAGTTCCAGGTCAGTCTCAACTACATAGTGAGACCCTGCCTCAAAAACAAAAACAAAAACAAATAAACAGATTGAGATAAAGACTGTCTATTCCAATTTTCTGTGGGGCTTTTTATCTTGAATGGGTGTTGGACCTTGTGAAATGCTTTTCCTACATCTATTGAGAGGATCATATGGTTTTGCTCCTTGACTCTGTTACTATAGTGTATTACATTTATTGATATGTGTATTTTGAACCATCCCTGCAGCTCCAGGGTGTATCCTTCTTGGTCATGATGTGTAATCATCTTGATGATTTGTTGATTCCATTTGCCAGTACCTCAGGATTTTTTTTTTTTCTTTTTCTCAGTACCTTAGAGAGGAATTTTGCATCTATGTTCTTTAGGGAGATTAGCCTGCAGTCCTCTTTTTTGGTTGAATCCTTCTCTGGTTTTGGTATCAGGGTAATGCTTGCTTCTGGGAATGAGTTTGGGAGTATTACTTTCTTTTTAGCTTCATTAAAGAGTTTGAGAAGTAGCAGCATTACATCTCTAAATTTCTTGTAGAATTCAGCAGTGAACCCATCAGGGCCTGGGTTTTTCTTCGTTGGTAGGTTTTTAATTACATCTTCAACTTCACTGACTCATATTCAGTTATTTGTAATTTTTATATCTTCTTGATTCACCTTTGATAATTCATGTATATCTAGGAATCTGTCCATTTCTTCTGTATTTTCCATCTTGCTAGACTATCGGTTCTCAGAGTAGGTCTAGATCTTCTGGATTTCTGCAGGGTCTGTTGTGATTTCACCCTTTTCATTCCTAATTGCATGGATTTGATTCTTTTCTTTCCTTTTTTTGATAAGGTTGGCTGAGGGTTTGTCAATTTTATTTACTCTTTCCAAGAATTAACTCTTCATCCATTGATTCTTTGTATTTTTTTTTTTTTAGTCTCCATTGCATTAATTTCTGCTCTGATCTCTATAATTTCCACCCTTGAATGGGCTTTGTGCTTGGCTTGCTGTTCTTTTTCTAGAAGCTTGAGGTTCAACATTGGATTATTTATTTGAGCTCACTCTTTTTACCTGATATGGATATTCACCATTATCAATTTCCCCCTTAGGATGGCTTTCATTGCATCCTTTAAGTTCTAGTATGTTGTATTGGCATTACTGTTTAAGAGTAGAAACCATCTGATTTCTTCTTTAATTTCATTTGTTACCCATTGGCTGTTCAGAAGGATGTTACTTAATTTCCATATGTTTATGACGTTCTTGTGTTTTGTTTTTTTTTTGCCATTGATTTTCAACTTCATTGTACTGTGGTCTGATAAGATGTATGAGATAACTTCAATTCTTTTGCATTTACTTAATCACATTCTATGAGCTATTATTATATGGTCTATTTTGGAGAATGTCCCCTGTGCAGCTGAGAAGAATGTATATTCTGATGTTGTAGGGTGGAACACTCTATTTTTCTTTTTTTGGTACCCAGGATCGAACTCAGTCCTTGCGCTTGCGAAGCAGGCATAAGAACCACTGAACCAAATCCCCAACCCTATGAATTTATTTTTTAATTAAATGTCTTTCTTGTATACAGCATATTGTTGGATCTTGCCTCTTGATCCATTGTACCAGTCTGTTTCCTTTGATTGGTGAATTGAGACCATTTACATTCATGGTTATAACTGACATGTATTGTCTTATCTCTGTTATATTATTTTCCTGTTACTGGCTTCCTTCTTTCCTTTTCTGTTTAATTTTTTGTCTTGCTTAGAGAATTCATTCTGTTGAGGTTCATGGAGTTGTAATCCTTGTTATCTCTTCCTAGGATATCCTTCTTAACACTTGAGTGCTGGTTTGGTGGTCATAAATTTCTTCAGGTGTTCTTTGTCATGTAAGTATCTTATTTCCCCATCAATTTTGAAAGATAGCTTTGTAGGGTATATCAATCTGGGTTTTCCTTTAGGGGTTGAAATACTTTACTCCAAGCTCTGACTTGAGGGTTTGTGTTGAGAAGTCTGCTGTGATTCTAATGGGCTTTCCTTTATAGGTGAGTTGCTCTTTTCTCCTAACAGCTTTTAATATTCTGTCCTGTGTGGTATTTTTGGAATCTTGACTATTATATGCCTTGGGGAAGATTTTTTTTACAAATCATGGCTAGGGCTAGGGATTTAGCTCAGTGGCACTGTAACTGCCTTGTAAGCACAAGGTCTTGAGTTCAATCCCCGCTACCAAAAAAAAAAATCATGGCTAATTGGAGTCCCATATGCCTCCCCTATCTGTATGCCAAATTCTTTTTCCCTGTTCAGGAAGTTTTCTGTCATTATTTCTGAGATCAGGTTTTTTATGTCATTTGCACTATCTCCTACTTTTTCATTGACTCTTATCAATCTTGTGTTATTCTTCTTTGGATCATGTAGCAGTTGCTGGACTGATTTCTCATGGTCTCTTGCTACTTTTAAAAAATCTCAGGCCAGGCATTTAGCTCAATTGGCCCCTCTCCAAGACGGCTTCTGGACAATCACCCTTCCTGGGTTACATCTGAACCTGGATAACTCACCAGCCACTGAAGTTTGCTGCTTCAACTGCTCTGTTCCACTGATATGTTTCTCTGTGGAGGCCTCTGAGGACACCAGTAGTCATTGTGCATCTGTGGGTTTGACCCCCTGTTCCCACACCATGAGTCTGGGCTCAGGGAGAAAGTGCTGCTTGCTACCTCCCTCCTCTTTGTTGAAGTCTTCTCTGCTCTCCCCAGGGACTTCGGTTCTCAATTCAGAGCCTACCTGGGTCCCAGGGACCCACTTCCCTCCTTCTTCTCTTCCTCAAGCTACTATATATTCCACTGTCAGGAGGCCAAATCTCAGAGAGGCTCTTGCTCTGCTCCTCACCACTCCACCATCTTCCCAGAAGTCCTAACTCTCTTTTTTAAACCATTTTGTTTTTATTTTGATTTTGGTTTGTCTGTTTACAGTCCTGGTAATCAAACCCAGGGCATCCTTTAGGCTGGGCAAGTGCTACCACTGAGCTATATCCCCAGTCCTAATAATAAGTTTTTAATGACAAAGGACTGGAAACACTGGTATTGTCTCTTCTCTCCTCCCTATGCATTCATAGATCTCTTCCTTCATCTATAGATCCTGCCTGCTGTTGTGATGCCAGTTTGCACACACAGCTTTCATTGGTGACTGGAGTGTTGCTTCCCAGTTCTCTTTTCTAGATCATTCCATTCAGAGAATGTAGAGCAGGGTCTCTCTCCTTTGAAACCCCCTCCCCAAGCTTGTTCATTATTTTTATCAAAGACTCTGTAATATGTAAGAATGAGAGACTGCCTATAAATCTCAAAAGTATTATTCAGTTTCCAGTTTATATTCAGTCTGAGTTCACTGGGGTATAAATTGGCTTTGTGTGCCCTAACAAAAAAAGAATTAGAAGGTAAAGTTAATATTCTTTAGCGCCTAGTCAAAATATCTTCCAGTTTAGAAATAGAAAAGGAAGAAATTAATATTAAATATGACTAGAAAGAAGTCAAACACATAAAGCCACATTGTGTGATTCCATTTATATGAACTCTACAGAACAGGTAAATCTGTAAAGACAGAAAGCAGATGAATGGTTGCATAGGGCAGAAGGAGAAAGCTGCTAAAAGGTATGGGGAGCCAGGCATGTTGGTGCACACCTGTAATCCTAGCACTTGGGAGGCTGAGACAGGAGGATCATCATGAGTTCAAGGCCAGGCTGGGCTACATAGTGAATTAAATAAAGGCTATGTACTACATAGCAAGACTGTCTCAAAAAAAAAAAAAAAAAAAAAAAAAAAAAAAAAGGCTAGGGATTAGCTCAGTGTGAAGCACTAGTTTCCAACCCAGCACACACATACAGACTTAAAAGTATCTGTAAAGGGCCGAGAATTCAGCTCAGCGGCACCACACCTGCCTCACAAGTACAAGGTCCCAAGTGTGATCGTCAGTACCAAAAAAAAAAGTATCTCTAAAATGAAGAAAGAGAAAATGCAGGTATTTAATCTTCTCTTATTGTTCTAGATTTGACCTTCTCTTTACCTTCAAGTGAGTGCATTCAATTCTATATTACTCACTCCCAAATTAATTTCTCTAAACCCAAATTTCCTCGAGCTGTAGATTCAGTCCTCCAACTGCCTCTAATATCTATGCGAATTTCACACAACTCCTTCCCTTGCTTGCTTTACACATCCTCGAGGTTCCTTCTTAGACAGCCCCAGTTCAGCCCACCTCCTCCCTCGGTATCAGCAAGAGATTGGTTCTGTGACCTCCTGCAGATATCAAATCTGTGGATGCTCAGAGCCCTCATACAAAATGGTGTGATAGCTGCCTAAAACCACATCCTCCTGTGTACTTCGTCATCCCAGGTTACTTACGTCTAGTAGTACACAGTCCGATGCAAAAGCTATGTAAATACCTATTGTAGTTTTTAAAGACCCGTCCTCACCATGTAGCCTGGGCCGGCCTTGAACTCTCACTGATCTTCCCGCGTCGACCTCTGAGTGTTGGTACCTCTGAGTGTGTGCACTGCCACACCAATCTGTTTTTGTTTCCAGCACTTGGGTGAACCCAGGGGCCTTCACACTGAGTTCCATCCCTAGCCAGCCTGTTTTGTTGTTTTGTTTTTTGTTTTGAGACAGGTCTCACCATGTCACAGAATTGCCCATACTGGACTCAAACTTGTGATCCTCCACCTTAGCCTCCCAAAGTGCTGGGATTTCAGAGGCACACATCTGTGCCCAGCTTATTGTGTTGTATAGTGAACAGTGAAAAGGAAAAAAATCTGTCTGTGTTCAATATATAGACAGTTTATTTCTTACTGAATATTTCAATGTGTGGCTGTTAGAATCCACGAATATGGAACCCATGGGTATGGAGGACCAGCTTTAAATGATACCACCATCTACTCAAGAAAAGGGAACTGCAAAGGGTGGGTGGCAATCTAGGCCTGTAATCACAGCCACTTCAGTGGCTGAGGCAGGAGGATCTCAAGTTTGAGGCCAGCCTGGGAACTCAGCAAAGAGCTGTCTCAAAGTAAAGATTTAAAAGGGATGAAAGAGTGGGTCAGAGATAAGAGTGCATACCCTGGGTTCAGTCTCTAGGACTAAAAAGAGGGGGTGACACAGAGAGACAGAGAAAGAGGTGGAACAGGAGAAAAACGATTTAACATTTTTATGTGCCCATTAATTTTACAAAATATTCAGTTTCAGTGTGGTGTTTTTGCCAGGCCTGCTGGTGTACACCAGTGATGACAGTACTCAGGAGGCTGAGGCAGGAGAATTGCCATGAGCTTGATATTAGTCTGGGCTAAATAGTAAGCCCCAGTTTCAAAAAACCAAACCAAAACAAATTTTTAATCAAAATGTGGTATTTTGATACACATATCTAAGATATTTGAGCATTCCTGTCCCCACTCCCATTCCTTCCCTACCCTTCTTCCCTTTCTTTGTCTAATGATAGCCTCTTTTCTACTTCATATATGTATACATTTTATATATTATATTTATAGTATATATACACACAGTCCACACTTAAAGAAAATGTGCAGTACTTGCTTTACTGAATTTATTTCCCTGAACATCATGATGATATCCTGCAAATGACATAATTTTATTCTTCTTTACACCTGAATAATACTCCGCTACATATGTACACAACACATTTTCATTACTCGTTCATCCCTGTTGGGTACCTAGGCTGGTTCCATGTCTCTTGTGAATTGTGCTGCAATAAACATGGGTATTCCTGTAGTATGCTTACTTCAGTCCCTTTCGGTATATACCATAGGGCGGTATAGCTAGGTCGGGCAGCATATCTATTTTTAGGGTTTTATTTTGGTAGCTGCCTCCTGATGTAAGCTTTTAATACTTTATCTAATAAAAAGAATCAGGACTCTGAAACAGTGGCTGATACTAAAAACAGGACGGTATGAGCTAGGACAAACATGAAGTATCAGTAAAGACTCCACAAGAATGCTTTGTCCCTTCTCTTACAAGCCTTGCCTGTGTCAGCAACTTATCTCTAGCAACCACATATCCCCCTCACCCCTACCTAACAACGATTGTGTCACCAATAAATATCAGTGGTTCTGGCTGTTCGTGGTCTTAGCTTGCTAAGCTTTCATCACCCCTGTTCCTTGTTTCACTTTGATTCTTTGTCTACGTCTTACTTCTCCCCCTGCATCGTAGCACTGAGCAGGAGACTGGAACCCTCTGCAGGAATGTCCTGTGTGGACTCTTTGGGTCCTGTAAGATCATGTCATCTGAAATTACGATACTTTGACTTCTTCCTTTTCTATTTATACATCCCTTTCATTTCTTTCTCTTGCTTGATTGCTCTGGCTAATATTTCAAAGATTGTGTGAAACAGGAATGGTGAAAGTGAATGTCCTTGTCTTGTTCTTGATTTTAGAGGAAAAGCTTTATATTTTTTTCTCCATTTAATATAATGTTGGCAATAAGTTTATCATAAGCAACTTTTCTCAGACTGAGATAAGATCCTTCTATATCTATTTTCTTCAGAATTTTAATCGTGAATGGATGTTGGATTTTGTTTTTCTGCATCTATTGAGATGATCATGTGATTTTTGTCCTTGCTTCTGCTGATATGATGAATTACACTTATTGATTTACATATTTTGAATCATCCTTGAATCTCTGGGGTGAACCCTACTTAGTCATGGTGTATAATCTTTTTGATGATCTGCTACATTCTCTTTGCTAGTATCTTGTTGAGGATTCTTGCATATAAGTGCATTAAAGAGATTGGCATATAGTTCTCTTTTTTGGTTGAATCCTTATCTTGTTGTAAAATCAGGAATGACTACGGGAGTATTCCTTCCTTTTCAATTTCATCAAAGACTTTAACGAATATTGGCATTAGATCTTCCTTGTTTTTTGAAACATAGTTCTAATATGCAATTCGTGCTGAACTTGAACTCACTATGTAGCCCAGGCTGGTCTAGAACTCACTGCAGTCCTCCTGCTTCAGCCTCTAGAGTGCTGGGATTAGATATTTCTTAATTTTTTGTAGAAAACTAATTCTTGATTCCCTCTTTTTAAAAAGTTCTTCTCCTGTTCACTTTATCAAGAAACCCTTTGTGTTCTATCTTCCAAACATATCCAAAATCTACTGACTTCTCTTTATTTTCATTGTCACCATTACTAATTTAAGCCACTGACATATTTTTTTTGAATGAGGGGAGCACGTCAGTGTGCTTTTCAGTGTGTCAGATTTTAATATAAAACTATGACTTAAGACAGGTTTGCAAAATATATTTTAAAATTCTTACAACTCAATAATAAAAAGACAAGCTGGGCATGGTGGTGCATGCCTGTAATCCCAGCACTCAGGAGGCTGAGGCAGGAGGATCACTGTGAGTTTGAGACCAGCCTGGGCTACATAGTGAGTTCCAGGTCAGTCTCAACTACATAGTGAGACCCTGTCTCAAAAAAAAATAATAATAATAATAATAAGGCAAATACCTCACTTAAAACTTAGCAAAAGATGTAAGTAGAGATTTCTCCAAAGAGAGACAAGCCTGGGATTTATCTCAGTGGTGCCTTGCAAGGAGACTGCCTTCCTCTTTCCCTTTGTGGGGGATACCAGGAATCAAACTCGGGTCCTTGCACTTACAAGGCAGGGACTGGAACCAGGAGCTTCATCCCCAACCCCCCCTTTCCTTTGTTATTCCATCCAGGCTGCAAGCCTATTGGTTGGTGCCATCCACAGTAGACATGGCTCTTCCTTCCTCGGTTTGCAGCCTATGTGTCAGTCACCTATAGACACATGCAGAGCTTTACTAATCTGCTAGGCAGTTCTCATTCAAGGCAAGTTGACATAACACAATTAACAACCACAGAATACATCCAACAGAAGTGAAAACATAGCCACACAAAAACTTACACATGAAGGTGGGCTTGGTGGCACACCGCTGTGATCCTCCCTCTTGGGTGGCTGAGGCGAGAAGATTGCTGCCACTCCGAGGCCACTTTGGGCCACACAGTACCTTCGAGGCCAGCCTGAACTGCATAGGGAGCCCGCATCTCAGACATGGCTACAAGCAAAACATACGCAAGGGCACACATTAGTGTTCGTAACGTTCTACTGTCGAAGAACCGTAGGGAGTGGAAGCAATGCACATGTCCACCAACTGACGCGTGGATGATGTGGATAACGGATGAGTGTGTGTCCAGAAAATGGAGCATCATTCCTCGATAAAAAGCAATGGAGTATTGATATATGTCACGATGTAAACCTTCAACATAACAGGCCAGGGCTGGGGCTTTAGCTCAGTGGTTCCACTGCCTGCCTCACAAGAGCAAGGACCCGAGTTCAATCCTTGATTAAAAAAAATAAATAAACAAATAAATAAATAACAGGCCAGTCCCTATAGGTAAAGCTCAGTGGTAAAGCGTTTGCCTAGCATGCAAAAGGCCCTGGGTTTGATACCCAGCAATGCAAAAATTAAATTAAATTAAAAGATTTGCCCAGCATGGTGGCACATGCCCATAATCCCAGCACTCGGTAGTCTAAGGCAGGAAGATCATTGCAAGTTCCAGGCCAGCCTGCACTACATAGCAAGTTCAAGATCCACCTGAACCACAGAGCAAAACCCTGTCTCAAAATAAATGATTTTGAAGAATAAATAAATAAACGAGTCACTAGAGGAATATTACATTCAAAGCAATTTTCCTACCATAAATAAAAATCAGTAAAAATATTAGAATCTATGACTCTAACAATAAAAAATTGAACAAATGTGAGACCACTTAAATAATTACTCCCTTTTTCCCAGGGCCGGGGTACCTGGATTCAGACACAGAATGGTGTGGATGATGTGTCGAAAGTCCGGGGAAACCTCTTCTCTCCAGGTAAGCACTTTCCGCCGCTGCATGCCAGGTGTCGTTTCCTGCCATTCTTAGTTGCTGAGTGCACTCCAGCCTCCTGCCATGCCTGACTTCTTCCCAGAGCGCCTTCCTCCCAAGTAGCTTCCAAGGCCACCTTCATTCCCTCAGTTCTCTCCTCAGATGTCACATTCTCAGCATTCAGCATGACTCTTTATTATCCGGCCTGTTTTACCGTCCCCCGTGCTCACCACTGACATTTGGCGTCTGCTTGGTTCTTATCTGTATCCTCTATGGTCATATAAGTTCCATAAGGACAGGAACTTTCTTTACTACCTATGCCTGGTACCTAGTAAAAAATCACAAATATTTGTTAACAAAGCCAGGAATGGTGGTACACATCTGTAACCCCAGCATTCGGCAAGACTGATGCAGGATGGCTCAAGGTCAGCCTGGGCTACACAGTGATACCCTATCTCAAAAAGAAAAAATGTTCATGGATCAGCGATGATGGATACACCTAGGAGTCGGTTCTCTCTCTCTGAATCTTCAGCATCCCAGTTTCTGGCTACTGTTCCATTCCGGGGATTATGTGAACCCTAATGGGGGTGCTGCTGTTGCTCTGGGCCACACATCTCTAAGTCTGCAGATTGCCTGAAATCTCTGGGGCTTTGAACCGTATTTGTTCCCCATGTAAACTCTTCAAGAAAGTTCAAGTCGAATCCAGAGCGTTCAACTCGGCCTCACACACTTCTCTGAGCGCGGAAATCATTAATTGACTAATGCCTAAAAACAGCAAGTTAGCAAATTCCAGCTTTAACTGACTAGAATATGTTAATTCTCAAACTAATGGCTTATTTACCACTGCCTGCCACCTTCATCAAGGATTATTAAAGTACGGGGTGAGGGGGCTTGTCAAAAGGTAAACTGTATTTGCGTTTAGTCACCAAGTTTTTGTTTTTGTTTTTAATGGTAGCAAAGTTTTATTGAAATAGGAAAAGAAACAGGCTCAGCAGAGCAAGTTTGGGCCAAGTAAAAGTCAGAAAAGAAGTACAGCCTGCAGCATGAGGCGCCACCGCGTGAGGGACACAGGCCCAGGCGCAGGTTCGATTGCTACTTTAAATACTCGTGAAGCACTAATAGCTCCTAATGAACATTGTGGAGTGCGAAACGGAAAGGAGGCCGGCTTTCGGAGACGTTCTCAACCTTTCCCACTGCTCCTCTGGACTCCACATCTGTGTAATCTGGGACACGCTCTTCATTTCACCTAACTCTCCACAGTTAAACTCAGCCACAACTGTGTTTGTGGGAAAGAGGAGAGCAGACAAGGCTTTTGAATCTTAGTGACTATAAAAGTTCTTTAATATGCCTGGGCCTATATTTTCTTACCCATAAAATTCCCATCTTGTGAGCAGTTCAAGGCTAAAAGTTGGGGCACTGGGTGGACTGGCACAGCCTGTAACCCTTGCACTTGGGGAAGCCAAGGCAGGAGGGCTGCTAATTCCTCCCAGTCTGGGCCATTTAACAATGGAACAAGACCCAGTCTCAAAATAAAAAGTAAGCCAGGCGTGGTGGTGCACGCCTATAATCCCAGCACTTGGGAGGCTGAGGCAGGAGGATCACTACAAGTTCTAGACCAGCCTGGGCTACATAGTGAGTTCCAGGTCAGTCTCAACTATATAGTGAGACCCTGTCTCAAAACAACAAAAACAAAAACAAAAACAACAACAAACAACCCCCCCAAAAAACAATCAAAATAAAAAGTAAAAATGACTGAATGGAGCTCATTAAGAAGGCCTTGGATCCATTCCACAGTACTGGGCAGGGGGTGGGAGGCACAAGTTGGAGGCCAGCCTGGACTGTATAGCAAGACCTTTGTCTTAAAAAGGAAAGAGATTAAAAGTTGAGGCTACCAGCTATTCCTCTTCCCGGTATCTTCCTGAAAGAGTTAAGAACATAATACCACAGCAATATATGCACATCCATGTTTATAGCAGCACAGTTTTTCATAGCTGAATCTTGGAAGCAGCCCAAAAGCCCATCAACCTATGAATGGATAAAGAAAATGTGGTTTTTCTATACAATGGAGTATTACTCTGCCATAAAGAAGGATCTGTTTCAGACATTTATAGCTAAATGGATGGACCTTGAAGTCATACTACCAAGTGAAATAAATCAGACACATATGTTTAAATATCACATTGTTTCTCTGGTGTGAGAAACCAAAAGAGGAAATAAGGACTAAAATGCATAATAGATGTTGGGAAATGGGCAAAAAATATTCAAATGGGAAGGGGAACCAGGGAGGAAGGAGGAACAAGGAAAGGAATGGACAAGAAAAAAGTGAAAATAGAAGGAAAAATGGAAACAAAGCTTTTGTACATAAGGAGGGGAGAAGGAAGTGGGAAGAGAGAAGTGCGGATGTACATGTACAGGTGCGAATTCCCTGTGATGCGCGTTCTCATTACACATGCCTGAAATGTACCAATAAGTGCCATTTTAAAAAAGTAAAACCAAACAAGAAAAAAATTGGGGTTACAAATGTATCACAGTGGTAGAGCACTTGCCTAGCATGTGAGAGACTCTGGATGCAATCCAAGCAACAACAAAACAAAACAAAACAAAAACCCGTCGTTTTGCCTGTCCTGCAGAGCGAATCCAGCACTTCGCTCTGCGTAAGTGCCCTGCGCTGTTTTGTTTGTTGTTTTGAGACAGGGTCTTGTGAAATGGCACAGGCTGGGCTCGAATTTGGGACCCTTCTCAGCCTGCCAGCAACCTGCGTGCCCACACCGAGGCAGCCACTCCCCAGCGCGGGTGTGACCTTCATTCCCGAGCCTGCAGCTTCCTGCCAGTTCCTGTATGTGAAGTCTTCCACGGTGCCTGCCCTGTGGCCTCCGCGCGGGATCCAGTCTGGTGCCGGTTCCGCGAGCTGAGCTATGTGCTGGCGCAGAGCATGCGCGTTTGTGTGAGGCAGTGCCTGTTTTTGTACTACAGAGGCAGAAGCAGGAGTCGTGACGAGACCACATGGTCCACAAAGGCAAGAGTATTTCTTATCTAACCCTTTACCTAAACATTTGCTAACGCCTAGACTAGAGGACAACGACAAAAGTTTGATGTCAGGGCCAGGGGTTTTAGCTCAAGGTGATGTTTTCGAGTCCCAGTACAGGGGGGGAAAAGTTAAATGCCAGGCCTGATGCTGCACAACTGTAGTCCTAGCACTTTAGGAGGCTGAGGACTTAGCAAGATCCTGTCTCAAAAAATAGAAAAAGGGCTGAGGACTTAGCTCCGTGGGAGGTCCCGGCTCCATCCGCAGCACCACACACTTAACTAGAGGAGGAAGTCTGCGTCTCATGGGAGATTTTAGGAGGCACAAACCATCTTCAGTTGGTGGGGCACCGTACTGGGGGTTGAACCTGGACTTTTGCGCTGAGCTACATCATATCACCAACCTTTTGTTTAATTTTAATTTGAAGGACAAGTTCTCTAAGTTGACCCAGCTGGACTAGAACTTGAATCCTCCTGCCTCAGCCCCGGCAGACTGAGGGAACAGGCGTGCACTACCACACCCAGCGGACGAGTGCATTCTCACACGTAAAAGGGCCTCAGTACATCCTGATCACAGATCATTATAAGCCTGTTCCAACAACATGTGTAAGGGGCTGGGGATATAGCTCAGTGGTTCCACGGCCTGCCTCGCAAGTGCATAGTCCTAGGTTCAATCCCTGTACCAAAAAGCAAACAAAAAACAAAAAAACCCACCCAACAACATGTAAATCTACATCTAAACAACTGCCACATGTGGTGCTCACTTGTAATCCCAGCATTTTGGAGGCTGAGGCAGGAAGAACACCACAAATTCAAGGCCACCCTGAACTACACTGCAAGATTCTGTCTCAAAAATAAGTAAGTAAATATTGTACATAAAATAGAAAACAAATTTTTAAAAAACCTAAAACTCTGGGTTGGGGATTTTCGCTCAGTGGAAGTGTTTACTGACCACACACGCGTCCCTGAGCTTTCTCCCACCACTGAAGAGAAGTGTTGAAAATGTACCTGTGAGCCAGGCCCAGGCCCAGGCCTGCATTCTGGGAAGGAAGGTCTCAAACTCAAACCCAGTCTGGGCGTTTGGTGACTTGGTAAGGTCCTGTCCCAAAGTAATAAAAGGGTGGAGATGTGGCTCAGTGTGAAGGTCAGTCCCCGCTCTCGCAAAAATACGAGTAAGAAATGTGTTGAGAAAGTGCAGCTAAAAATAATGTCCACCAGAAGAGCTTTTTGTTTTGTTTTGTTTGTTTTGACATGTTAGGGATTGAACCCAGGCCTTTCAAATTCTTGCCAGCCTCCACAGGGCCACACCCCACCCACCAGAGCTCTTTTTACCATTGTGGGGATATCAGTGTACACCGACAGACGACACACGCGCACCAAGGCCGGGGAGTCACGCGCAATTTATTTCCTTCAATTTGCTTAGCTGTTTTCAATGAATACATTTTCAATCATTGAACAAAAGCTACACAGTATGGCTGGGTGCACATCTGTCATCCCAGCCCTCAGGAGGCTGGGGCAAGATGGAGAATTAGAGGCCAGTCTGAACTACACAACCCTGTCTCAAAAACCAAAATAGATAAATACAGATATAAAATGCTTAAATCAAGAATACATTTCAATCTAAGTTAAAAAGTAAAGTCTATGTGAAGTAGACCAAAAGAAACAAAAGCAAACAGAGACAGTGGGGTTTCTAGTGGTGAGAGAAGTCCGCTTGTTTAGGAGAACAGAAGATGGCTGCCCCTGGATTTGGAGCTCGCCCTGTCCGTGCAAGGTGTGTTTTTGTGCCGATCTCTTTATTCTGCCAAGTGGAAGGAGAACAAAGCTGGCAGAAGAAACTGATAAGGATTTTCAGCTGATTGGGCAAGGGATTTCTGGGGAGGAGGCAGAGAAAACTAACTCCTGAAATCATTTTGTGTAGCAAGAGAAAAGTCTGGACTTGATTAAGATGGAGAAAAACATCACCCAGCTCTTGTTTCCAGAGG